ACATTAATAATCTTCGTTTTATGTTTCAAAGTGAACGGAGTTTGTACATAACCCAAACTAGTAGAGGATTGGCCATTTGCCACAGTGCAACAAACTGTTTGTCGTATTAGTTTAAGACTCAAACCCTTTAAAATCTCATAACCCGGTACTCCAACTATCGTGCGAGATGCACCGCTGTCCAATAAACCTAATATGGGGAGCCCAAGAATAGACAACTCTAAAAATGGTCTTTGGTCACCCTGCGCATGAGAAAGTATAAAATCCAGTACAATTTTGTTAGAAGAGGCCAAAGAATGGACTGACTTGACCTTCAAGTCACCACTAAATTTAAGATTCTACTTCTGAACAGGTTGTGACTTCGGTACCACATAGGAAGTTTGATTCAAAATACTGACTGGAGTTGCCTTAACCGGTGTTGAAGAGGAAGTGTGGCCAACATTTGCACCTTCGGCCAACAAAGCACTAACATTAGGATCAGTAACAGAAACGATCTCAAGACGATCCAACAAACCCAAAATTTCAGCAAGAAAAGAACCTCTCTGCTGCAGTTGTTGCTCCGACAAATCCTTTAGGGGAATACGATCAGTCCTATTGAGGAGATGTACTAATCTAGTTTGATTACGCTCGAACTTGGCAACTGCATTTTCTGGAGCCATAGATTTAATTGCAGTAGAAATATCCTGGAGAGTTGCAGAAATATAAGCAAACTCCTGATCCACATCGCAAGTATAAACAGACACAGTCAATGGCTTTCCCCCCTTTTCAAGTTTCAATAGTGGACGCAAAGCACTACGCAGCTGTTCAACAGTTCTCGAATCATCAACGGTAACCCCGCGCGTAAACAGTTCGTAGGCCAGCATTTCCTTCTTAAGGTAATTGATTTGCATTTTATAATCCATGATCAAGATGACAGAAGAAAAACAGTATTAAAAAAAATCAGGGTAAATTGTAGGTATAAAATAAACACACAAAAGATGACGGTCAGATATTATCACCCACTTACCAACAATAATTGTACTCTTCCAAAGAATTTGATCAATCAATCAAAAAAAAATAAAAATAAAAAAAAATATGTATATATATGTACCTATACTTGACACGCAAGGAACCGCAGCAAAAAAAAAATTGTATCACGAAGTATTCAATTGCAATAATAATAATTTAAAAAAATACCTTAATAAATGTAATTAATTAATAATTAATGAACCCCAAAATTGAATTTTATTGAAATGGTGAACGGTGTGATGCAACAACTTACGCTATACTAAGGCGTTAGGCGAATACCAATTTTAATTGACGGTTACAAAATTAATACCAATTATCAAATTTCAATCAGACAGTTCTCTCTTTTCAAAAAAAAAAAAATCTACAAAAAAACAAAGTTTGGTACCAACTGTACCATACTTTAACTGAGCTTTGACTAAATAAAGAAACCCCTATTTCTTTTTTTAAAGAACACGTTGGGCGCCAGTTGTAACACTTTTATTTTACGTAAGAAAAATCAATTACCAAAATGTAACCTTATTTGGATTGCGACCTTAGTTCAACAGAGTTTGTTAAAGTGTCCACGTGCCCGGTTCGTGGATTCGTGCGCCACCAATTTTTGAAACTAAATCGGAAAAGTCCTGCGATGACTGCAGGTTGAACTAAAGTACAAACCAAATTATTATGCCTGAAATGTAAGAAAATAATTGGATAAGCAAAAAGACAAAGAAAGCAGGTAATTGGCAATACAACAAAATCAGTATTTATTGAATATTAAGTATTGATTTAGTACAAGTTATGGTGATTAAATAATGATTATGACAAGTATTCAGAGGCTAGTATGACGACTAGCAGGAATAAAGAACCTAAAGGCTTCCTCATAGTCAGATTTAAGAAAACTGTCTGTCGGTATTGATATGTCTGAATACCTATGTAAGCAGAGAGCTATACTTAAAACTAAAATAACCAATAAGTGCGAATTAACACACACCCAGCGTCAGTGATCACTCCGCAAATAAATGGGGTCAAATGTTTACTTAAATGTGAGTAACTAAAGTTACCTAAGCCATATACGATATTTTTAAATAATTAATAAAAAAAATTACACTAAACTACTTAGCTTTATGCCGACAATTAACAATGGGTCTGGGATTTCACACTCGTACCAGATGATCTATCTCATCAATGAAAACTAGTTCGCCGAGTCTTTGCTATTCAGATACAGTGGTGGGTACTGCATACCATCAAAACATCCACTGAGTTGCGTTATCGAAAACGGTAGCATAAAACCGTACCATAAGACCCTCGTGGATTTTTGAGGGCCACAGCTCAAAGGTTGAAGGTGAAAGGAACGTCATGGAACTCTAATTTCACCTACGCTGGCTGATCCAATTTGGAAGTTCACAATAACGAGCAACAATAAAATCAAGGCTCTAAGAGTCTAGGCTCAAGCAATTCAATCCAAGCGACGTGAATGATATTCGACTAGAAGAAATAGATAAATCCCTTAGAAAGGTGATTTGGCTGCCAAAAGGTAACAAAAACCAAAACTAGACTGGCAAAACCAAAATTGAAATTATCTGGATGACCGGATCCTAATTAAATAGAGAAAATCACTTAATTTTCTTTATGGTCAACCGGATAAAAAAACTATCCTTCAGGCCAAAGCCAAAGTGTTCTTGTCGCTGGACGAAATGGAAAAGCCCGTTGTACGATTTTTGGGACCCTAAACCAGAAATTTCTACGCACTAACTTTTTTTTATGTTACATTTTTTCTATCGAATTCCACATTCCACACTTTAGGAAGGATTGAAAGATAACGACAAAGATATCGATAGTCGTCAGCGAAACCTCCAAAGGGACTCAACAAATGGAACCGACTCAATCCACACAAATCAGGAAAACACTATTCTCGTTAAAATCTATAAATAACTTCACTTATTAAATAATATTGTCCATGCCTTCTCTAACACGACACCAATTATATCGACATTTATAGAAAAACCCAACCCTACGCGATCAAAACCAAAGTACCAGCAAATTGATCGATATAGGTACTCGATAACAGGTAAACAAAAGAAATGAAATCCTCCAGTAAGAGAGAGACAGAGAGGGAGTGAAAACTAAAGGAATTAATCCTTCGAAATGAGCTGGCGCGAAAATAAAATTGAATGACAATTAACTGGACATAACCCCTTTTTATTTGAAAATCAAAACAATGTTGGCTATCGACTAATGAAATTGATAATTTATGTATATTCCTTTTAAGGACAACAAGAATAAGATAACCAGGCATTGTTCAATAAATATTCATCTGCAATGGTCAACTAAATCATTAGACAAATGATAAGGAGCAAAATCTTGTCTGGCTGTGCCTGAAATTATCTAAAAAGATGCAGCGTAAGGTAATTAATATCCAATCAATTAAGTCAGCTCTAAAATAATATTTGTGTGTTACCAGTTAAAAGGCTGAATTACTCATTTAATGGGAAGAGCAAAATTAAAATGTTACATATGGTTCTCGAGCGCGCTCGGAATACCTACACCGAAGTGGTTTTGTTGGTTTCGCTAAGGGATTTCTTTTCAACAAAGCAGCACCTCAAAAGTCATCGCCACATTAACGTCAATTAATATATTTTGGCGCTTTCACCATGGAAATGTCATTTTTTTAATCATATAAGGTTATTTAAGGAAAAGGTCGAAAGAGATTCAGCTGCCAGAACTTGAACGATCGAAGTGATCTGGTACCTAAATAGGCGATTAAAGCCACTAAATTAAAATAAAATTTTAAATTTCTCATTGAGAAGTACAGCAGTATGCTGGATTAAATAAATAGGTAAGTTTTATTTTTAAACCAGAAATGGGATTTCAGTGAATACAATCATCCGCAAAAGCCAGACCAACAGGTAAATTAATTTTCATTGAGGCACGTAGTCACCCTATGGCAAAATTTTTTGTTTCTGGCTTTTAAATCAACTTCTACTTTCATTTTACCTTTTTAACTCCTAGTTCAACCTTTTATGTACTGATTAAATCTTATCATACCGTTAAATTTTTGGCTATTAGTCAGATTTTATCCTAATAGTCCAAATTTATCTTCAACATATCAGTCCAGTTAATCAGACGATAAACGAACATCAAATATTAAGTACCCACGCCCATTGCCTACTGAAACCTTTGTCTGAGCAGCTGTAGGGCAACCCAAAGAAGTGATAACACACGAATATAAACTATCATCATTCCAAATTGGCGCCCAACGTGGGGCATAAATTTTTTATTAGTTATAATTTTATTATTTTTCTGTGTTTTGCTACTTAAATTTTGGTTGGAGGCAATCTGGTAATGTTCCAATACTTTTATCTGTTATCTTTCGCATTTTTGTTTTTTAGCGTTAAAACTTTGTTAAATATTTTTATTAATACTGTGATTCCTTAGGTCAATATGAACTCAGTATACTTACACAAAGACGAAGCTGATTGAGAACTCACAATTAGAGGCAGTTGCACCAAGAATTTAGCGAGTCGAGAAGTCAAAATCTCAATACTTCGAGGTCATCTCACTTGTGAAAAGGAGAAAAATATCATCTATCCAGAGGTTTCAATGAATTTTGAGAATGAAGTGGATATATGTAAGAGTAAAGTTCATTATTGTCTAACTTGGTAAATTAATTTTTTTCTGATAATCGTCATCCTGATTATAAGGGTGTAAAACTAGATTGTTACATTTACCTTCTCATATTAATTATTTGAAACCATTTGATAATTATTCATCTGCTGATATAAAAACACAACTTATTTCACAAAGCATGATATTAATTGAGGAAAGAACAAAGGTTAGAATTCCAATTGTAAACCAAGTAAATTTAACTGTAAATGAAATAAATTTTGACATTGAAAATGATAATATCGAGTCACAGCCTCAAAATGTTCCTTTCTCTGCTGAAGAATATGTGAACTCTTTTGCTGAAACTAGTTTAACGTGTTAAAATAATTTCAAATGTTTTATTGAATTCACAGACACCTCATCAAGGTGATGGTGATAGTATTGATTCAGAGCTAAATCTTGAGGATGATTTGTTGAATATCTGCAGTTCATATTTCAAATCATGGGAAAATGATCCTAAAAAGGATAACGTTAAAATTAAAGAAACTGACTTAGTCTATCCTTCATTGAAGGGTTATAACTTTGATAGGTTTCACAAAGAGCAAGCTATGCCTCAGAATTTACCACACAATAAAAATATTTCTAATGATGCTAACGGTCGAAGTTTTGTACAAACTGAAATTAACAAGCCAATAATTAATAATCAATATAATTCCAATAGTGAAAATCTATTTAATGTACCTATTGACAATACAAATTTTAACAGTGTTCATATTGCCATCATGAAAAATCTGCTCAAACGATTTATCAACCCTGTTGATGAGGTTACACAACTTCGACTTATTATGAGAGATCTTTTGCTATATTATCAACAGCAACTGGTCTTATGTCAACCCATTTCTATTATGGAACTCAAAAGTCTCTGTCATATTCTGGAGGATACCAAATTACGTTCCGAATCATTTCAGGGTCCACCCTTGTGTAATACTTCCATTCTTGAACCTGAACTTGCATATAGGAGGAACGTTTCTGATAAAAACCATCATGTGAGATTTCAACACTCGAATAGGCCAAAGTTTGGAACAAGCGAAATAAAAATATCACAACCAAGTGCTAGTTTTGAATCACAAGGTGATTTAGTTAATTTTGAAGCTCAAGATAACTACTTAAAAATTGATACTTAATCAAAACTCCAATGTGGAGGTTTTGAACTTCTACTAAGTGTTGGAATTGTGATCAAATGGGTCATGCATTTTCAAGTTGCAGAATGAAAATAAATGTGTTCTGTTTTAGTTGTGGAAAGAAAAATATAACAAAATCAATGGGTGCATTCAGGCGGTCTCAGCGGCTGAGATTGCTTAGTAAGAAGCCCAGCTGAATGTACCGCTGCGTAAAAGCTGTAAGTCAGCAGCTGAGTGTTTTGCTCAGCGTAAAAAATTGTCGCTTTTTAAAAAGCGGTTTGGGTTTTTGATATGTTTGACCGAGTTTTGGAAATTGAGGTTGTGTTGTTTGTTGTTGTTATGGTACGTTGATGTTTTGCACAATGTTTTAATATTTCTTCTGGTTTGGTCACTCAGCGGTCTTGTGGTTTTTGAGAAACTGTATTAGTCATTATTGTTGATTTTGAAAAAATGGAAGTCCTGAGAATCATTTCCTGGTTGTTGGTACAGAAGGAAACCCTGTTGTTGAAAATAATAGGGTTTTATTATAAACCATGAAGGGTAAGCATAATTTGCACATATTACATATCATATACTTACCTACTTAATATAATAGTTTGCTATGAATAATAATATCCATTTTGTAATATGTGTACAATTTTCAGATGAGTCTTTGATTTTTGTTCCATTAACTCCTAAAATTGAACAAATGTTTGGTCTATCGACTGTGGCTATAGAAGAAGCAGAAACAGCAGAGGAAACCTTTGATTCCGAATGCGAAAATAATGCGGGTTCTAGTAATGTTGATAACAATCAAGATCAAGATGTATTAGGTAAATAATATTTTATAGTTACTTTATAATTTTTTTCATCAACTGGGCATTTACGAGTTTGATTATTGTATTGTATACCTACTAAATTTGTTCGCAATTTGTCAAACTACTTTTTTTTTCAGAAGGAAAATTTTATTGGGAATACAAGGCCATTCTTTTAATGTTAGAAGAATACAGGAAAAGGATTTCAAAGTTTAGAAATCCGAAATTTAAGAAGAAATTATTATGGGACGAAATTGCAAATGTAATGAAGCTGAATGGATACTTAGTTGGTTCTGATACTATTGACAAAAAAATGAGAAACCTGAAAAACACATTCCGCACAATAGTTGATAATAATAATAAGAAAAAAACTACTGGCAGAGGGCGAATGCATTGGCCTTAATATACTATTTTTCAAGATATTTTCAAGGAAGATAAAGCAATTAATATTTCCTGTGTAATGTCTATGTCGCAGGCTTATTGTGAAATTAGTCTTATTATAATACGCCTAGGCTTTTTTAATACGACTAGGCGTATTGCAATACTACCCAAATAATTAGGAATCACACAATTTGACTGATAATTTTAGGCTTATTATAATACGCCTGCCGCTCGCTAGTCTTATTGTTAAAATGAACCTGCAAGCGATTATTTTCCAATTCGACTAGATAAAATTCGTCGTATTATAATACGACTGACAGTGTGTATAATAAGACTGATTTTACATTAAGCCTGCGACATCTATACTACCACTACCAGCAGTTCAACTGAAAATACCAAGAAAAATACCCTCCTCTCAGAAGTAAATATACATACTTTATTTTAAACCATATACGTTGAAAATTTTATATATGTATTTGAAAATAAAAAATCTTATTTGTCTCATGTATAAAAAATGCCATGAAAGGAATGCAATTATCGAAAACTCACACCGATAATTGCACTGCCACACTAAATAGCATTTGTGCTTAAAAAAAAAGCAAATAGTTTAGCATTCAAGTGTTTTTCTTGGAAAACTGCATTCATTAATTTTCATAAATTTTTCTCTTGGAGTGTTTAGAGTTTATAGAAAACACACATTCATCTAAAATGATCGATAATTTTGATGCACTTGTGCTATTACCGCTGATAGTAATAATGGTTTAAAATAAAATAGTATACATATTTCGGTGGAAAGTTTTTACAATTGACCTCCATATGTAATAAACTAATTCACAGATAGTTGAAAATTCAACAAGACAGTGTGTCAACAATATTGAAAATGACAATATTGCGAGTCCTTCCACGAGCACCTCTGTTCCCCTAGCAGGTGCTACACCGAAAAAAAGTACAAAAAGCGGACAGCTGGATAGGTATAGGAAGCGGCAAATTGAAATAGAAGAGGAAAAACTTGTGGAACTTAAAAAAATTCGAGAGGCCATAGAAAAAAGCAATGAAATTCAAGAAACAAAAACCAAGATACTAGAGACTTTGGCGAAGAAAATGTGAATAAGAATAAAACGTATTTTATGTTTGTATTTGAATCAAATAATAAAACATAATTCTACATGTAAACAAAAAAAGAGTTTTAATTAACAAGTATACATTTTATTTTGGTTAGTTCAGATGCAGAGTGAACAGGCTGGGTTAGGTGGACCCAAGACTGCAGCCGTCGGCTTATTGTATTTTCCTGTTCGTCTGTTCAGTCAGTGAAAAGTTAAGAGTTACTTTTGGCGAGTTTAGAGATAGGGTCTTCTGGCATTATCTGTCTGTAACTCCACCAGCGTAAAGCCTCACACTCGAAGACTATGTTGGGTGGCGGTTACATCTTCCTCGTCACAAAGTCTGCATATGGGTTCTTCTTGAAGGATGCCCATTGTCCATTGTGTGAAGGTATTTTCTCAGGCTCGGCTACAGTGTCCAGTTAATAGCCTGATTTGATTCCTGTTTAGTTGTAGGATCTCTTCAGTAAGTTTAGGTGATGATTGTTGTACCATTAGCTTATTGTGTCTGAGCTTCGGAAGAGTTTGCCATTAAGTTTGGTGTTGTGTCTAAATACCCATGGGTATATTATTGTTCTTAGCGAATATTTTGTGATACCAATTGCCGGTTCGCAGGATCAGTATAACTTGCTGATCCTTCTCTTGCCAGAGCATCTGCTTTTTCATTTTTCATAGGTTTTTGAGGTTTTCTAGGCATTCCCAGCAGGGTTTAGATTTTATTTTAGAGTGCTTTAATCGACGCTTGACTGAGCAGATAAGGATGTTTTCACCTCTGTATCGTGTTTTTAGGTTTTCTCGCAGACAGGAGTCGATGGCATATATTTCTGCTTGAAATACAGTAGTGTATTCTCCTAGAGGTTGACTGATGTCGTATCTGCGGGAGTATGTCCATATATTCCAGCGCCGGTTCCAGTTTCTGTTTTGTAGCCGTCAGTAAACCAGGCAATTTCTTGTTTAGGTGTTGCCCCGGAATTTCCTACTGGGACAATCTTGATGGCGAAGGGTTTTTCGAGGGATTTTTTCGGCATCATATAATAGCTGCTCATGGTTAAAATCCGGTTTGTGTATATTTTGGTGAGTGCCGCATGTCCATTTGATTTTGGGTTCCAAGTTTCGTTGAGCTGGAGACGATATGCCCTGATTCTAGCCTCCGCTTTGACGATAAGGTCAATTGATGGGAGGTTAAGGATCGTTTCCACACTTGCCGTTGGTGTGCTTTTCTGTGCACCGGTGATATAAAGACATGCAAGTCTCTGAATTTTGACTATTGGTTAGCTCCAGGTTTGCTTGTCTTTGGTTTACTTTAAGCCACCATACAAGTGCACCATGAATATATTATCATTGGTCTTACAACCGTAATGTATATCCAGTGTACAACTGACGGTTTTAGTCCCCATGTTTTCCCAATTGCTCTTTTTAGTGACATCAACGTCATCTTGCTTTTGGTGGTTATCTTTTGGATGTGTTGGTTCCATGTCAGCTTCATATCTAGGATGACGCTTAGAAATTTAGCTTCCCTGCCAAACTCCAAGGTTTTTTGGAATAGACTGGGGGCGATTAAGTCCTCCAGATTTATTTTTCTCGTGAAAGGAATGAGTTTTATTTTGGAAGGGTTGACGCGAAGTTGGTCCCTCGTGCACCATTCCTCAATTTCATTTCCATTTCATCTTAATTCAGTTTTGTGAAAGGAGAGCAGCAATAAAATCCCTCTTTCCTTCACCCAACGCGTTCCTGTTTCTTTCAACATCGGCCAAATCGATATTGATATTTCCCTGTTCGACCTGTTCTGGTTCCTCATGTTCAATTATGCCATCATTCCTCAGAATTATATTATGGAGTACACATGCAGCTATAATTACAGCTGGAATCATATCAATTCTTCCCATGTCGAAATACTTTAGCCTTCGAAATTTGCATTTCAATAATCCGAAAGCTTGCTCTATAAGGACCTTCACAGAACTCATTATTGTGTTGAATGTTACTTGTGGGACTGTGAGGTGACCATTATCTCGGTATGGTGTCAAAAGGAATGGGGATAAAGGATAGGCACTATCACCTAGCAGATGCTCTGTTGGCGATATGACACCACCAGCCTGATTTTCTGTTGTTAAGACATTGAATATTGGTCTTGTGCGAAAAACTCGAGCATCATGCACTCTTCAAGGTGTCCCAGCAAAAACATCAATAAATTCTTTTCTATCATTACAAATTCCTTGTAAGATGACAGAATAGTAGCTGTTCTTATTATAATAGTCCACAGAATTGTTTGGTGATGCTTTAATGACAATGTGGCATCCGTCAATGGCTCCAATAATTCCGGGTATCTCTAAAAAATATGCCTGATGAAAATGTAAAAGAAATAAATGTCAGGTAATTGCTGAGCTTTTCAGATACCTATATCATTATTATTTATTAGGTATGTTAGCATGGAGGAAAAGTTTTGTTACTCCAGTAGATCATTTAATATAACAATAATAATAACATATATTGAAGCAAAATTCACAATTACAATGGTACCACAACCCTTAGAGAAACTAAAACATATTTTTTTATTTGTGCGCCTAGCCAAATTATTAGCTGTATGTGGATACATATTTCCTTAAGCTTCATATGCATATGCGACTGTGTTATTTGCGCGATAATACTCGTTTGCGCGAGGGTAAAAAGCGCGATAGACAAAAACGCGACTGGGCAAAAGCGCGATGGACAAAAACACGACTGGATAAAAGCGCGACCGAATAAAAACGCGATTGGATGAAATAGAAACCAAGGCGCGGGGGACAGAAGCGCGCGCGAGGAAATAAAAACGCGATTGGATAAAAGCGCGAGAAACAAAAACGCGGGGGACAAAAGCGGAAAGGAACAAAAACGCGACTCGAATAAAGCACGATTAGACAAGAACGCGAGGTTAATATCGGTCAGTTTGGTAATGTCTCATTGAAATTGCAAACTAACCCAAACTTACCGATAATAACAAAAACGCGACTAGAATAAAGCGCGAATGGACAAGAACGCGAGGTAATTATCGGAAGGTTTGGTAATTTCTGATTAAAATTGCAAATTTACCCAAACTATCTGGGTTATTATCGGTAAGTTTAGTAATGTCTGATTAAACTTGCAAACTAACCGGGTTATTATCGGTTAGTTTGGGTTAGTTTACCAAACCTAGTGATAATAACCTCGCATTCTTGTCCAATCGCGGTTTTGTCTTCCGCGTTTTTGTTCCGTCACGCTTTTATTCCTCGTGCTTTATTTGTTTCGGGCCGTTTTATCCAGTCGCGTTTTTGTTCCCTCGCGCTCTTGTCCCTCGTGATTTTGTCCCTCGCGCTTTGTTCAGTCACATTTTTTGTTCCTCGCGCTTGTCCAGTCTCGTTCTTATTTCGTCACGCTTTAGTCCCTCGCGTTTTTCTCCCTCGCGCAAACGTTTGTTGCGCAAATAACACAGAGTCATATTTTATATTATGTAAATAAAACATTTCACTACCTACTTGACATTTTTTGGAGTTCTCTCGAGATCCTTTCCCTTTCATTTTGATTGGGCCAAACAATCACATCATGCCTCAACTGACAAATTCGGTTAATCATTTCAAAAAAACTGTATGCCCTGTTCCTGCAGCTAAATCGAACCTATCTCCTGCTGCAACAAAACTTTCTGGTTTTGCTAAACGGGCACCAACCTAGGATTGGGAACAATATCGGCAGGCTGAACAAGTTGCTTTACAGCCACTAATACCCCATTAAAATTAATATCCTCTTGAAGGGCTTCCCGCACAATTTGATGCAACAACTCATGAGCCATGAGTCCAGATCACAAAAATATTGTTCTCAATAGATGGAGGGAACAATCTATCCATCAGAATTTGCATATTTTGGCCAACTTGCACAAACCAAAAGGCATGCGAACGAATTCAAAATGTCCTCG